ATAGATGATGATGACACTAAATGAATAAGAGAATACAAAGAAAGAATTATGTTGGAGGACGATGTGAGTACAGGGAGAAAAGATAGATGAGATTAATATTACCCACACTAAGCAATACATTTCTATATAAATAACTCTATATAAATAACTATGTCAAAAACTACAATCAGATTATCTAAATTTCTTTTTTTTAGTAATGTACATGGCTCACTATTGAAATATATAAATACTAGAGGCCTAATGCACAAAATTCATGCAAGAATAGGCCTTCCTTCCCCCAGCTGCAGGCACTGGCTTCCCTCCGGCCGCCGGCAGGCACCCGGGATCCAGGCTTCCCTGGCAGCCCCAACTTCGTCCGGAAGATTGTCCGGAAGGACATCTGGAAGGATGTCTGGTCTAATTAGCATATTACCCTTTTATTATTATAGATAGCCCAATAATCCAGGTATCCAGAAACAGCAATTGTTAATATTTGAGAGTATTCCTTCTAAATTTTTCAATGCATATAACCCTAAAGAGTTTATTTTTTCCATGACAAATTGGAATCATATACAACTCTGCATTCAGTTTTGTTCACTTTATTAAATAAGTATTTCCAATGATAAGTGAAATACTAATGACATATTAAACACTTCAATTTATGTAAACCACTAATTAGTATTACCTCACATACTTGCCTCTTACTATAAAGGAGAATCAATACCCCAAATTTAAGAAAAAAGACTTATTTAAAAGAACCACCAAAAACAAGAATGACTACTGCAGTACATTTTCTCAAGTAATTTAATTAGGAGAAATAATATTAAAATAACATTTATTTGACATGCTCCAGAATAGATACTGATGATTTTACAAAAACAAAACCATACAACAGAGATGAAAAACAAGTTGTTTCAATGATTTTGGGGGGCTCTCAATATCAATGGCCCATATATAGTTGTGAGGTCACTGTGAAGCTCAAATGGTTTAATACATACAAAGCACATACAATAGTATCTGATATATAATAAATGCTTAGTAAATATTGGTTATTACTACTATTATCATTAGTTCCAGGCAGAAATTTTGTTTATTACATGGAAAACAGAAGCAGAAAAAGCAACACTGAGATATGGAACTGCATTCTTTTTCTTCCATTTTTCCATCTTCTCTACATTTATATACTCCTGAGACACCACTTTAAGTGTTGCAGTGAAAAGTATTATTTTAAAAGCATTAGTAAATATTCACCTTATCCCTAATCTATAATAATAAAAGCATAATATTCAAATCAACTGAACAATGGAACAGTGGAACTGTCCCGACGACCACACTATGACATCCACTGGTGCCAGGCCAGCCAAGGCAGGTGCGATGCAATTCGTCAGGGCACGGACATCGCCTCATGATGGCCCCGCAGAGGGCGACCCAGGCCACCAGCCGGGGCAATCAATGTGGGTGGGGGGAGACAGGGGGGCTCCGCAATCGCCCAAAGAGGGAGGCCCAGGCCACCCTTTGTGGGGCGATCGATCAGGGGGTCCTCCGTGGAACCCGGAGTGTGTGGTGGATGAGGGCAGCACCAGGCCAAGAGCGCGCGCGCGCGCGCGCGCGCGCGTGTGTGTGTGTGTGTGTGTGTTGGGCGGGGGGAGCGGGCAGGAGGCAGCCTGGGGGCTGCGAGAGCCCCAGCAGCCGGGGCTATGAAGGCCTACCCTTGCACGGATTTTGTGTATTGGGCCTCTGGTTATACTATAAGACACTTGAGCACCCGGGCTGGTTTGGATCAGTGGGTAGAGGATAGGCCCATCAAGGTTGCACCCCCGCCCCCCATCCCCTGTCAAGGTTGCAGGAGGCAACCAATCAATATGTCTATCTCTCTCCCTCCCTTCCACTCTCTCTAAAAATCAATGGAAAAATATCCTTGGGTAAGGATTAACAACAACAACAAAAAAAGATACTTGAGGGAAGAATGAAATTTCTGTATTTCTTCTAAATTTTCCCTATATGGAAAAGTACCGTATTTGCCGGCGTATAAGACGACTGGGCGTATAAGACGACCCCCTAACATTTCCACTCAAAATACAGAGTTTGTTATATACTCGCCGTATAAGACTACCCCCTCTTCCGCACACCTTCCACACACCAAATAAAAGGTAAAACAATATCAGATTTGATTTTAACATTTTAATTTATATTCAAATGCTTATGACATGCAGGAAAACTGTCACAAGGCTGTATGTAATCAAACATATACATAAAACAGTGCAAGTTTATTACCGGTAAACATACCGGTAATTCACTAAAGAAAACACACTCTGTAGACTGGTACCGTAGATGCTTCTCAGGAACACAGGCAAGCAGCCCACAACCTAGAGGGACTGTCAATGATAGAAGTAAGATAACAAATAGAGGTAGAGAGCAAGTGCCGGGCAAGTCCCTAGCAA